CCCCCCCCCAATTCTGCCCACCTCACCTGCTTGGTTAGTAATGTAAGTCATGTTGGTTGGATCCAAATCTTTTGCCTTGTTGTAATGTTCCAAGGCTCTTTCGAAGTCTTTCTTTTTGTAGGCCTCGTTCCCCAATTCCTTCTCCTTCAGGGCCTGAAAATCAGCAGACACGTCTTGATCAAGGACATTCTAGACTCGTTTGGCAGGACATTCAACACAAATTGTCGGTCCTAGTAAGGAGTTATCAGCCTTCTCTGCTGGCCACCCACTATATCTGAGAATCAGGATAGAGATATAGGAAAACCTTCCTTCCCTTCCCTTTTCATATCCTTCCTTCCTTCTTCTTCCGTTCCTTCCTTCCTTTTCGTATTCTTCCCTCCTCCGTCTCTTTTGGTATCCTTCCTTCCTTCCTTTTCATATCCGACCTTCATCCTCCCTCTCTCCCTTTTGGTATCCTTCCTTCCTTCCAGATTCCATCTTCCTCCCTCCCTCTTTCCTTTCCTTCCTTCTTCCCTTTCATTTCCTCCCCTTTCTTTTTTCCTTCCTTGTTCCATCTTCCATCTCTAGTTTCATTCATTCATTCATTCATTCATTCATTCATTCATTCATTCATTCATTCATTCATTCATTCATTCATTCATTCTGCAGGATACCAACTCTGCCAGGGACCAGTACCTTCTTCTTGTTTTCTGGCAGGTCTTCCTCCATGGGTTCTGCCTTGGGCTCTTTCTTGGGGGGTGGAGGAGGAGGGGGAGACATGGCTTCATCTTCATCGTCAGCGCTGGCTAAGTCGACCCCGAGCAGCACCCCGAGTGTTGTCATCACCCGGGGGTCCTTCAGTTTTCTGTCACACAGCAGGGAGACAAGCCCAGCCTGAGTACTTCAGAACACGTCCTGGGCAGGCTGTCCCAGTGCACCAAGCCAAGTTTTAACCCGGTTTAAAGAACAGGCAAAACCTGCCTGGGATTCCCAGAAGGGCTTTTATTTAGATGGGCCCTCTGATTTTGCTGCCTTTGCTCTCTTTTACAACCACGTGAATTAGAGAACTGTAATTCTCAAAGCAACATGCCTTTTGCAGGATGCACGGCCCAAATGGCTGCCTGATGGCATGAAAATGAATGGGAATTAATTAATTAGTATTAAATAAATAATTCAAACTAAATGATCCATTAATCAGTGGAACAACTTGCTTCCAGAAGTTGCAGGTGCTTCATTACTGGAAGAGATTAGACAGCCATCGGTCTGGAATGGCATAGGGTATCCTGCCTGAGCAGGGGGTTGGACTAGAAGACCTCCATGGTCCCTTCCAACTCTTTTATTCTATTAATGCCCTGACGTTCCTTGATGGAACTCTAGATAAGTGCTAGAAGAAGTTCTAAAGGAAGATTTAAAAAGAGCAACTAAGATGATCCAAGGCCTGGAGACTAACACATACGAAGAACGGCTGCAGGACTTGGCTTTGGCTAGTCTAAAGAAAAGAAGAAATAGGGGTGACATGAAAGCAATGTTCCACTTTTTGAGGGGCTACCACAGAGAAGAAGGGGCACATTGTTCACCAAAGCACCAGAGGGCAGGACAAGAAACAACGGTTGGAAACTGACCAAAGAGAGAAGCAACCTGGAATTTAGGAGAAACTTCCTGACAGTGAGGACAAACAACCAGTGGAACAGCATGCCAACAGAAATCGTGGGCGCTTCATCACTGGAGGTTTTTAAGAAAAGACTGTCTGAGATGGTGTAGGTTCTCCTGCTTGAGCAGGGGGCTGGACTAGAAGACCTCCAAGGTCCTTTCCAGCTTCTATTCTATTCTATTCTATTCCCATTCTCGATTCGATTCTATTCTATATTCTATTCTATTCTATTCTATTCTATATTCTATTCTATTATTATTCTGTTCTGTATTTCTATTCTATTCTATATTCTATTCTATTATTATTCTGTTCTGTATTTCTATTCTATTCTATTCTATTCTATTCTATTCTATTCTATTGACATTCACCTGTCTGAGATGGTATAGGTTCTCCTGCTTGAGCAGGGGCCTGGACTAGAAGACCTCCAAGGTCCCTTCCAGCTTCTATTCTATTCTAATAGCAGATGGATTCCTGGGATAGGGGACTCTGGCTTCGACCAAGGAAAGCGCCACTTCAGCTGGATCATCCAGGTCCCCTTCTCACCGCCCCGCCAAACCCCACCGGCACTCACGTTCCCAGCTCCGACGGTTTGTTGCGGAGTTGCTCAATCAGCTCTCGGTAACTTGGGTCGCTGAGCAGGTTTCTGGTGCGAGGGTCGCTCTCCAGCTTTTGGTAGAGGTTGGGCATGTTGAACGGGTTCATGAGGTTCCGCTCTGAAAGAGGTTCCGGAAGAAGAAGGAGAGAGAGAAAAAGTCAGGGCCCTTAGTGGGATTTCCCTGTGGGGGGGGGCAGGCTGCAAAAGCCCTGGCGTTTCCAGCTTTAACCTCTCACCCATCTGACTCTTATTTATGACGGTCGCAGCGTCCTGGGGTCAAGTGATCCCCGCTGGGGACCTTCTGACCAACAAAGTCAATGGGGAAGCCACAACCATCATGTTACAGGCAGTCCTCCATTTACAGTAGTCTGTTTAGTGACCGTTCGGCACTGGAAAAAGCAACTTAGGACCGTTTTTCACACTTTGTAGCATTCCCCCAATGGTCCCAGGATCAAAATTCAGACGCTTGGCAACTGGATCGTATTTAGGACGGTCGCCGTGTGCTAGGATCATGCCTTCTGAGACCAGCAAACTCAATGGGGAAGCCAGATTCGCTTAACCACGTGACTCAGTTAACGGCCGCAGTGATTTCCTTAACAACGGGGGCAAGACAGGTTGTAAAACGGGGCACAGCTCACTTAAGCCACAGAAATTTCAGACTCAACGGTGCTGGTTAAGCCGAGCACGAGGTGTCCTGGGTCCTTCCGTGACAATCTATCACATATCGGGGTTTTGTTTTTAAATAATATTTTATTAATTTTCCAATTTTCCCATTTGAGCATTTAAAAAGCAACGTGGTGACTGGGTTAATCAATAGTTCAAAAATCTTTAGTGCAAATCTCAGGTGACAATATCAGACATTTCTTCTCTTTTTCCCTTAACGTTTACTGTCTCGTATTCAAGCCAGTACAGTTCTTATTATATCAATTCAATAGAATCATTATTACATTTATCAATAGATTTTTGGCTTATATATATCTGAATTACATTCAATCGTCATACCTGGGTTTTTTTTATTCAAGCCTTTACAGAGACCCCCTACCCGGTTTTTGGATCCCTAATGCCGCGTGGAACGTTTGCACGGCCCTAATCCTGCTGCTTTCCAAAACGACGGGCCGTTTCTCTTCCCGACTGCTGCGAGGCTTTGGTTCGGATCGGTTCCGTCCCTCTCTCGGTCGAGGTCAAGGGGAGTGGACGGTCGGACCTGAGGTACAAAACGTCCGGAAGGAAGTTGACCCGTAACGGGCCGAGCACAAAGTCGGGAAGGCGCATGCAGAAGAAGCGAAGGAGTTTCGCCAAGTCCTTAAGGTTCCGCCGACGAAAAGCCCTTATCGGGACGTTGAGAGCACAAGACGGATCAGAGAAGGCCAGAGACGCCTGCACAGAGAAACCAGAGCCTCCCCCCCCCCCGTGGTCATTAAGCGAATCCACAGTTGTCGTGCAGAACACCGCCGTTGTTTTAAGCGTTGGGGCGTTTTGGCCAGCATCGGAAATAAATGCTGGTCACGTGACCAACGGGTGCGGTCACGTGACCAACGGGTGGGGCAGCCAGAACTCCAGAAGTACAGGTAGCCCTCGACTTACGACCACAAGGGAGCACCCTTCTGCCGTTAAGTGAGGCAGTGAAGTGAATGTGAATTTGACGAGCTTCCCTGTCAATCACTGCAATTGTTAAGCTAGGCCAGGGCTAGGCAACCTTGGCTCTTTTATGACTTGTGGACTTCAACTCCCAGAATTCCTGAGCCAGCATGGGGAAAACTTTGGCCCCCTCATGACTCGTGGACTTCAACTCCCAGAATTCCTCAGCCAGCATGGCTCAGCTTGGAAACCTCTCCCTTTCCCCTCAGCGTGGCTGGCTCAGGAATTCTGGGAGTCGAAGTCCACGAGTCACAAAAGAGCCAAGGTTGCCTACCCCTGAGCTAGTCACGCTGAGTTGTTAAGCGAACCTGGCTTCCCCATCGTTTGTGTGCGTCAGGAGGTCGCAAAAAGGGGACCACCCGAGTCCCGGCGCCTGTCATAAATACGAGTCGGTGGCCCAAATTTTGATCACGTGACTTATGGGGAGGCTGCAACGGCCGCCAGTGTGAAAAAGGGTCCCATTTCCCGGTGCCGTTGTGACTTTGAACGGTCACCAAAAGAACTGTCGTAAGTCGAGGACTCGTCCTTGACCTCAGCAGCCAAGTGGAGAGGTTTCAAAAGCAACTTGGAACCCTCTTCTCACCTTGCCCCATTCCGGCTTCAGCTCGATGGTCTTGCAAGCGTCTTCCAGGGCCTTGTGGTACTCCCCCTTTTTGGCGTAAGCAGCCGAGCGGTTGCTGTACAGCACGTGGTTGGCCGAGTCCAACCGGATGGCCTCGGAGTAGTGCTTGATGGCTTCAGCGGTGTTGCCAGAGCTGAGGGCCTTGTTGCCTTTCTCCTTCAGTTCATTCACCTGGAGAGAGGAGAGCAGAGGAACGTTAAACCTGGTTAAGGGCCCCGTCTTCCAAAGGCGAAGAATGTATAAGTCAGGGGTAGGCAACCTTGGCTCTTTTATGACTTGTGGACTTCAACTCCCAGAATTCCTGAGCCAGCGTGGCTCAGCTTGGAAACCTCTCCCTTTCCCCTCAGCATGGCTGGCTCAGGAATTCTGGGAGTTGAAGTCCACGCGTCATAAAAGAGCCAAGATGGCCTACCCTTGGCCTAGGAAGAGAGCCAAGGAGACGGAAGGGCCGACTTGCACCCAGCTGTGAGCTTTCGATCACCACCTGCTCATGGATGCCGAAACTGCAGCCTCTGCAACAGTGTTTGCAGCCTACAAGCCATGATGTAAATCATAGGACGAGGTCCCTGCCACATCCCAGGTTCTCCCCAGAGGAACCAGCAAGCTAGAGGTGGCTTCCTCTGAGTCACGGCTCCGTTCAGCTAGGGACCAGCAGCTGAAATTACAGATGGCCAAGAATAACCAGCCTTTTGAGCCGTGACAAAACGTCACGGAGGCTCTCTCTGCAAGGATTCAGGTTTACCGCTGCGTTTGAGCTATGTGGGAAAAATGAGGTGGTTTTTTTTTTTATCAAAAAAGGGAGGAAAGGCAAGACAATACACGTTTTCAAAGATACCCATTGCCCTGGCCCATTTGGGATGGAGCAAGGCAGGGGAAAAAAAATAAAAATAAAAGCCCAAAGGCGCAGCGATGTAGTTGGACCCCAGCCAGGTTGCTATGGTATAAAAAACCCTGACACAATCACACCCACCCAACTGCCTTACAGATCTGTTCTGTTTTTCCTTTTTTTTTTTTTCCCCCTGCTCGTTCAGTTTCTGGCACCTTTTACTTAAAAGGCCAACTGCTTCCGCTACCATTCATTTTCACACCCGGGCAACAATGCAATTAGGATGGTGGCAGGAAAGTTTTAATTAGTGGGGAGGGGAGGGGGCAAGCTTGACCTCAAAAGGAGATGACCTTTTGCACGCCAAAGGTCCCAGGTTCACATGTTTAGCCAACAGCTTTTTTTTCTTCAATAGAGGAATCCCCCCATTTTCAATTACCTTGGTTCACACAGGGTGCCGAGCCCAGGGTTTAATAATAGTTTACCGAATAAACCACAACTGGTTTTGTGCAATAGATCATGGGGTTCTCAACCTTGGCAATGTTAAGACTTGTGGACTTCAACTCCCAGAATTCCTCAGCCAGCTTTGCCAAGGTCGAGGATCCCTGCAATAGATGACGTCAAAAACCAGGATGCCAAAGTGACAGTGGTGTTATTTATGCCATTTAAAAGGGGATATTTGTAGGGTTGAAATTTGGGATCCCTGGTGCTGTTTCCTTGCAGACGTTTCATGGCCCAACTAGGTGACATCATCAGGGCCTGGCTGAGGAATTCTGGGAGTTGAAGTCCACAAGTCATAAAAGGGCCAAGTTTGAAGACCCCAGGCTTAAAGGTTTTTTTTGCTTGCGCTGTTGTTCTGGGATCAAACACTGATAAGCCTTGATCATATTACCTAGTTGGGTCACGAAACGTCTGCAAGAAAACCACCCAGCTCAGAGAGCACCAGGGACCCCCCCAGCCCTCCTCCGCTCTGCAAACCCTATTCCCTTCTAGCCCTGATGATGTTACCTAGCTGGGTCACGAAACGTCTGCAAGAAAACCACCCAAGTCAGAGTGCCAAAGAGCCCTCATTTACACGCCACTGTTAAACCCAAGCTGAGCTCGATTTAGCCAGATGTGCCAACCCAGCCTCTGTCAGCTGGGCGCTTAGGCAAAGGTCTCTGCGCCTTCTGGAAGCAGCCCTATCAGAATAATCCAGAGAAGTGAGAGGCTGCACATGTAATGCAGGCTCTTGCGTCCCACCTTATCCGGGATTCGGGATGCTGAACATGCTACAACGTGCAACTTAGGCTTGGCCCCTCTTTTTGGGTAAACATCTTCCAAGAGCCGAGAGGTTGCGCTAAAGCTCAGTTTGAGCAGCCTCCAGTGCTTTGCTGGTGAGACAGCATTTACATTCAACGCCACCGTCCTGCCCAAACAACAACTGGATTGTGCAAGCTGCCTTTGCAGATCAGAACCGTGAGGCTCCAACAGCCTGCTAAAGCCGCCACGGACCAACGTGGGAAGGGTGACAGGTGGCAGAAAACTGCTTCGGATGGGATCAAGGTCCCTAAAGCCGGGCCCTTCAAACTGGGCCCTTTGATGACTTGTGGACTTCAACTCCCAGCATGCCTGGCTGAGGGATTCTGGGAGTTGAAGAGCCCTGCCCTAAAGCGTCCCACTCACCTAGAAAAATGTGGAAGTGCTTGCAAGGAAGATAGATCCCAGAAAAGGGAGCAGCTCCCTAGAAATCTGAGCACACTTGTCCACTTTGACCGAGATGCCATCAGTGCAATAAGGATCCCCCCCACCGCAGAATCAATCTCCTCCTGCCTCCACATACACACACACACACAATTTGTCTTCATTCAGAACCCACAACATCCATAGGTCAAAGCCCCAAGTCATCTATAAAGACACCCTTTCCCATAAGCCTCTTCTCAGCCGGCTTCTCCAGCCGGCTCTCCTGGGCTTGTGGCTCCCCCTCAGTCCGAGTGTACCTCGGCTGGGGATGATGGAAGCTGTAGCTCAGTCTACAAAAGCAGGGGACTGAGGCTGGCTCCCCTAGGACCTCACTTCAAGATTGCGGTGGCCGAGCTCTTAAGAGGGGGGCAAGATAAAACCACCCGAATCCCTACGAAAGTTCAAAAGTGATTATTGTCAGCATTAAGCTATGATGGTTTTTGCCCAGGTTCTCAACACCCATTAGCCCGCACAGCTGGGCAGCCACCTGAGCTGGGGATGATGGGTATGGCCATTACTTTGGAGGAAGCAGGTGGGCCACAGAGGCTGGGGATGATGGGTATGGCCATTACTTTGACGGAAGCAGGTGGGCCAGGCAGGCTGGGGACGATGGGTATGGCCATTACTTTGACGGAAGTAGGTGGGCCATGTAGGCTAGGTATGATGGGTATGCCCACTACTTTGAAGGAAGCAGGTGGGCCATGCAGGCTGGGGATTATGGGTATGCCCACTACTTTGAAGGAAGCAGGTGGGCCATGCAGGCTGGGGATGATGGGTATGGCCATTACTTTGACGGAAGCAGGTGGGCCATGTAGGCTGGGGATGCTGGGCGTGGCCGTTACCTTAAAGGGGGCGGATGGGCCACGCAGGCTGGGGATGATGGGCACCCAACCGTTCCAAGGACAGCACGTGGGAGGGGGCCTGTTGGTCCCCTCCCCTCCTTCCCAAGATGCACTGCAAGCTCACCCTCCCTTCCCCCACGAGGCTGCCCCCCCACTCAGCCTTTCACTCCCCTCCCTCCCNTTTTTGCCATGGTTATTAAGCCAATCACTGCAGTTGTTAAGGGAATTGTATGGTTATAAAGCAAATCCAGCTTCCCCATTGATTTTGCTTGTTGGAAACCAGCTGGGAAGGTCAAAAATGGCAATTGCGTGCCCACGGGATGCTGGAATATATAATATGGAATATCTGCTAGTTGCCAAGTGCCCTAATTCTGATCACATGACCATGGGGATGCTCATCAGTTCATTTGAAAGCCTGGAAAAACAACAGGGAGCTGAAAGATTTAAATTAAATTAACTTTTTATTTCCTAATACCTTTTGAATCTTATTTCAATTCACCGTATTGCAGCTTATTTATGCGGTTTGGGGGGGGGGTGTTCAAGCCCGAATTGGCCAGTCCGATGCTGCTCTGAGCATTGAATATAGAAAGAAAGCAGCAAGATTCGTTTTTCAGCTATAATTAGAAGCTCGGCTCCTTTCTAAAATTAGCTGCTGGTTATGCCGCCAACTAATGTTGGGGAAGAGGCAATCCTGTCTCTCTTCTCTAAAAAGATTATTTTGGAGCAGGGTCTGCTCTAATACATTCCATTAGACTAGACGACCTCCAAGGTCCCTTTTCCCACTCAGCTACCGGTGAATCTGTTATTCAGCGTGGCCTTAGAAGCGTTGCGAAAGACTACATTTCCCAGAAGCCCTCGGACCTGAAGCGCGGGGCGGGGCCACCGAGGCTGGGCTCGTGCGTTGAGCAGCAGCGGCAGCTGTGGTTGCAACTCGCGCCCTCCTTGGCTCTGCTGTCCCAAATACCAGGTGTTTTATATATAAGGGAGGAAGATCCCTTTGCCCTTTCCCTGGACCAACCAGAGCGGCCCGCTGCAGGCTTTGCAACCATGCCAGGCAGTTTTCTGCCCCTCCAGCCGCAGAGGCTGCTTGGCAGTCTAGGGAGGCTGTGGAGGGAGTGGGGCGGTTGCCCCATCGCTGTCCACGCGGGTGGGAGGCAAGGGGACTGGGCCAGGCTCCCCTTGGGCAAAACTGCCAGCCGGTGGGTGTTTGCACAGGGCATCCGGAGCTGGGCTATAGCTGCCCCCTTGGCTATGGCTGCTAAGGTGGATTTGACCACGTCCACTGATTGGAAGGAGGCTAAATGTAAGTGAGAAGAAGGGGCAAAGTGTGTGGTTTTGTGTGTGTGTGTGTCGTTGCAAGTGCTTGCCCTGACTGCGTCTCCTTCCAGGAGTCCCTTGCTGAGCTCCTGCAAGTCCCTCCGTCCCTTGGTGGCTTGCAACTGGCATCCCCTTTAATTTCCTGACTCTTTAATATCTCTGCCAAGCTCCCAAGCTTGATAGGAAAGCTTGCCCAGACGAATGGCTGTCCAATCTCTTCTGGAAAATCTCCAGTGATGGAGCACCTACAACTTCTGGAGGCAAGCCATTTTACTGATCGATCTGGGATTATAGGATAACAGAATAACAAAGTTGGAAGGGACCTTGGAGGTCTTCTATAATAATAATAATAACAATAACAATAATAATAATAATAAACCCTATACCAGGCAGGAAACCCTATACCATTTTGGACAAATGGCTGTCCAGTCTCTTCTTAAAAACCTCCAGTGTTGGAGCATTCACCGCTTCTGGAGGCAGGTTGTTCCACTGGTTAATTGTTCTAACTGTCAGGAAGTTTCTCCTTAGTTCTAGGTTGCTTCTCTCCTTGCTTAGTTTCCACCCGTTGCTTCTTGTCCGGCCTTCAGGCGCCTTGGAAAATAGCTGCCTCTTCTTTGTGGCAGCCCCCGAGATATTGGAACACTGCTATCATGTCCCCCTTCGTCCTTCTCTTCATTAAAATAATAGTATAATAATAATAATAACAACAGTAAAGTTGGAAGGGACCTTGGAGGTCATCTAGTCCAACCCTCTGCTCAGGCAGGAAACCCTATACCATTCCAGTCAAATGGCTGTCCAATCTGTTAAAAACCTCCAGTGTTGGAGCACCACAACTTCTGGAGGCAAGTTGTTCCACTGGTTAATTGTTCTGTCAGAAAAGTTCTCCTTAATTCCAAAGACTAGGAGCCTAAACTGCATATTATATGGTTCATTGTAGGATGGGAAGCTAATAATTGTATTTTTTGTTAGATATATATAAGTCAGTACATCTCCACTTGGAAGTTTCATGCTTCTGCAAGCTCTTTTCTGCAGTTAACTGTAACTGCATTGCATTCTGGGAGCTTTCCTCAGTTGCTTGCTTGCAGATTGCAAAGCATTGTGGGAAGTTTTGTGGTTTCATTTCCCAAGGCCCAGGCCAGCTTTCTCCAACCTGGTGCCCTCCCCACGTGTGAATTTATTTTCCAACATGTATATCCAACGCTTTTTACTCAAAGTGAGGGACTTGGATGGGATGCTGGCTGGGAATCCTGGAAGATGTAGTCGCTGAACATCGATCCATTGGCCTGGGAGAGAAATTGCAGCTTTTGCAAAAAAAAAAAATCTGTTGGGTTGAACTAGTGCTTGATCTAAGAGGCACTTTATTTCATATTTTAAATCACCCTCACCCTCCAAAGATTTGCTGCTTCAAATCAGCCAAAATGACTCCAGAACCACGTCTTTAGTCCTTATTTATGTATTTCTACATTGGCTTTTGTAAACTTTGCAGAATTGGGCTTCTTCCGCCTTTTCCATACCTGCCTGCTCTTCTTAGTCATGGAAAAGAAAGTTTCTGTCTGACTTTATATCAAATTTCCACCCTGCCCACCTCATCTGTGTGACTCTGGGCGGGTTACAAATAAAAACTGTTAAAAGAAACATAGTTAAAATAAAGATGTTAACTTTTAACATAAGGGCAAAAAGAGACATAGTTCAAATGTTTAACTGTAAAAAAGAAACATAGTTCAATGTTTATTTTTAACCTAGTATAAAGAAACACGGTTATGTGTTTATTTTTTAACTTAAAGATAAAAAAGAGACATAGTTCAAATGTTTAATTTTAACATTACGGTAAAAAAAAAGAGTGAAAAACAGGTTGTAACTTTGAACCGTCCCTAAAGGACCGGTTGTAAGTCTAGGACTGCCTGTACTTAATTCCTATTTAATGTTTGCACCTCTGCTTTGTGAAGTTTGTAAGCCACTGAGGTGACAAGAGTCGCTTAGAGAGAGAGAGAGAGATGGGCGGTGGGTTAAATTTTAATTCATAAATAAAAGAGGCCGCCATTTGCAGCCAGGAGGCAATGGAATGCTCAGGGCCTCGGTTGCCTAGCAACCAGCCCTGGGACCATTCCTCTCCTGGACTGGGCCTGCATCCATCCTTTGAGGGAAAAATGTCATCTTGAGAGACTTTTTCTTTTCTTTTTTTTTTTTTTTTTGCAAAAGGCTGGGCTTTTTAAAAACCTTGAAGAGGTTTCAGGAGCAGCAGTTGAAAAAGAGCCCCAGCCTCTGGAAGGCCTTTGGGATGGCTGCTTTGGCGTCCCCGCTGAGGAAAATGGTTCCCTCAGAGCAATGGCGGCCGGCCTAAGAAAATGTGCTGACTTGGGACTCAAGGATGGCCCCCTGGTTGTGTTTAGCTCTGGGGACAAGGCAGGGGATGTTCCTGGTGGGGTCTGCCAGCTTCTTTGGTGCCCAAGGTTGGCATTGAGGAAGGGGGGGGTCTCCTTGGAAGTAGACCCCCGAATTGCAATTTCCAATTTCTGAGAAGAGAGTTGACGGCAGTCGGTTCGGTGGGCGACACGCTCAAGTGAGACATGCACCACTGAGCAAGTTAACATCTCAGTTCTTGCACATCCATGTTGCAAAAAACCCCTGCTTAGGTTAGCATAAGTGTTACTCCCTTATTTAATACCTCCTCATTCCTGCAACTTGTATGTTGTATTGTACTGGCTGTGTAAAGAGTATTATTATTATTACATTTTTATCCTGTCCCTCCCTTCCTTCTTTCTTTCTTTCTTTCTTTCTTTCTTTCTTTCTTTCTTTCTTTCCTTCCTTCCTTCCTTCCTTCCTTCCTTCCTTCCTTCCTTCCTTCCTTCCTTGGTGTTACATTCTTATCCTGTATTTATTTATTTATGTATTTATTGGTATTATTACATTCTTATCCTTTATTAATATTATTACATTCTTATCCTTTATTAATATTATTACATTATTATCCTTTTTTATTTATTGCTATTACATTCTTACTCTTCCTTTCTTCCTTTCTTTCCTTTCTTCCTTTCTTTCCTTCCTTTCTTTCTTTCTTTCTTTCTTTCTTTCTTTCTTTCTTTCTTTCTTTCTTTCTTTCTTTCTTTCTTTCTTTCTTTCTTTCTTTCTTTCTTTCTTTCTTTCTTTCTTTCTAAATTTATTGACAGCCCATCTTACCACAAGGTAACTCTGGGCAGTTTACAATATTAAGAAGATTTTTTTTTTTTAACAAAACCTATACACAGTAGGAACTAAATAATAAAATAGATAATACACAATCCTAACTTTTTAAAAACTTTATAGGTAACTATAAAGTGAACTTTAAAGTATATAAACTACAAAGTGTATACTTTACTTCATAGGCAACTCAAGGAGGTGAATATATATAATATTCTTTCCTCCTATTTTTCCCACAATAACAATAACCATGTGAGGTGTGTTGGGCTGGACTTTCATGGCTAAGGCAGGACTACAACTTACCGCACCCAGTTTTTAGGCTGGCACCTTAACTATTACACCAAACTGGCTCTAGTTGCTATTGGTAAAAATACAGGTAGTCCTCATTTAGTGACTGCCTTGTTTAGCAACTGTTCACACAAAGGGGGTGACAAAATAACTGCGACTGGGGCCTTGCATGGACAACTTTTGCAGGTCTATGAAGCAAAGGAAGGCTGAAGTCGGATCGTAAGCAGAATTGTGACTCACTTAGTGACTGCTTTGCTTAACAACCGAGATGCTGATTCTGCCAGATGTGGACTACATGGCCTCAGGATATGCTTGGTTGCAGATTGGATGCTTTCCATTCATTTAGCTACTCTAAAGCAAAACTTCGCCAGCTTCTAACTGCTGAAAACATTTTCTTTTGAGGTTGCAATACAATCCCTTAAAAAATGATTCCTTTCTAACTGATAATGATAACTTTCGAACTTTCTAAATTTGGGGGGGGGGAATCTGCAATAATTTATTGATATGCAGTAAATTATTGCAGATTCCCCCCTCCCAATTTGGATCACCAACCATTATTTTCTTTCTCTCTTGCTTTATTTTCCCATTCAGCATTTCTGAAAGGGCTGAACAACAAACAGCGCCGTCCTCATTACTTCACCAAAGATTTCGTCAAACTGAAGCAGATCCCAACGTGGAAAGAAATGGCCAAAAGTGAGTCGTCTTTTTTGTTTAAAAAGCTATTTTGAAGTCCGTGACATAGAAGTATCTTCCTCCCTCCATCATCATCATCTTCATCTCTTCTCCCTTTAATGCCAGGCGCTCGGATCCAGCAGCCCGAAGAAACCATTTACCCCAAAGATAATAATCTGAACGGGAAAATCTCCTTAGTCCGAGGAGACATTACAAAGTTGGAGGTCGATGCGATCGTCAATGCTGGTGAGTGAACAGGGGACTGATCCTGTTTGGCTTTGGGAGGGGCTGGGCATGGCAGATGTGATTTTTGCATCCCTCCTTTGGGTTTAAGAATGGAAGAAAAGGAACAGACATGCTCTTGGCCAGGGGTCTCCAGATTTGGCAACTTCAAGACTTGTGGACTTCAACTCCCAGAATCCCCCAGCTAGAATTGAAGTCCACAAGTCTTAAAATAGCTAAGTTTGGAGACCCCTGCTCTTGGAAAGCATTTTGTAATTTCTGCAGTCCAGTTCTCTCGTTAAAAATGTCCCCGGCAGTGTTGTTAAGCTAACTACTGTCATAGGGATAGGGGAAAAAAATGTTAAAGTAGTGGATACATGGGTGCAGTGTGCATATGTGCATGTCGCAAGAAGTAACTTTACAGAGTCTTGAATAGTTAGACCTGTTTCCCAGGCTTAGCCATTTCAAGATGTGTGGACTTCAATTCCCAGAATTTTCTCCTCAATGGCTAGGGAATTCTGGGAGTTGAAGTTCACCCAGCTGGAAATTGCTCTGGTTGGGCATCTGTGAATTACACAACGGCCGAAGAGGTTGAAGTCCGTCTGCTTGAAAATGTATATATGTACAGTAGAAACTTTTGAAGCCTTTGGAAGACAGAATATCTATAAAAAAGAAGCTAAGTCTAAGAGGACAAAGAAGTAGAAAAAAATGCAGTCATAGATAACAGGGGAAAAAATACTTGTGATTGTATTGTCTCTTCCCCAAATTAATAAATAAATGACCCATTTTGAATCCTTCTGTTCTTTGGAATTGGATGATCAACCAAAGCAGGTAAGTGATCAGTTTTTTTTAATTCAGTGTGGTGGATTGCTTTGTGGGGGTTTTTTTTCTTTACAACAAAGATATTTTAAAAATTGGTCTATCACTTTCCCGCTTCAGACTCTTTAGCAAACAGATTTTCTGTGCTCGTTGTACGCCTTAAAATTTGGGCGATTGGCGTCCAAGGTCGAATCGCAGTAAAATTACGGTGAAGTTCTGGAAAACTCGGTAAATGCTCTTTGTTGGGGGATCAGATTATGGCAAAATTAATTTTTCTCCATCTGCAGGAGTACCGCCTTGTTTGAGTGAGTGTTTCTTTTGCTTGTGTCAATATGTTGGAAATAAATAAAGCAAGTATGGGAGTGTGTACATGCAGGGGCATTCCTTTAAAATGATGCTGTGTATACGGATTGCCGTGTGAAGAACAGAGCGAGAGAGGTGGAAAAGAAGTTGATTCCATTAAGAAAAAGTAACCTTGGAACCAGGCCTCACGTTTACAACCTTTGCATGCCTGTAAAGCAAAAGAAAGCTGTGAAGGGAAAAATTGCAAGCACAGTTGCGGCTGCACGTAACCGTCACTTTGCTTAATGTTTGCTGCCAATTGGGCTCACTAAACAAGGACTACCTGCATTCTGTGGCTTACAGTGTACGATTTGAGGAAAAGGGAGGACAATTACGGCTGTTTAAGCAGGAAAAACCATGTGGTTCTTATCAGTCTCGGGTTTTATAACTGAGAAACGATCTGATTTTAATTTCTGCTCGAAATATACGGTATATAATATACTCAACGGGACCTGGCGTCGTTGCTTGCCATGAACACCGGGGGGCGCCAAAGGCTCAGAATTCAACATTCGGTCCCTGTTTGAATTTCGCCATAGCAATAAATCTGCAGCTTTATTAGCGTTGTTTATAAGGCTTTGCTAACGAGCTTTTTTGCTGGTGCTTCATCAGTCTTCCCTTGTACATCATAAAGTCCATATGTCCTTAATTCATATGTGCTGCTGCATGTAAATTAAGATTACCGACAATCCGATTTTATTCCTAGCTGTGAAAAAAAACTACTGGCAGCCGGTTGTTTTTCCTTGCTTTGAAGCAATCGAATTTGTAGGGCTTGCAGGAGAGCCGTCAACCCGGGTGGTCTGGGGCAACTTAACCAAGCAAGCAGGGTGTTTATTTCCTCTTAACCTTGTCTCCATGACAGAAATCTTAACACAATCACGGCCTCAAAAGCTCTTACAGACACCAGATGTGCGGTTAACCCCTCCCAGTGCATCAGCATACATAGCCGGCGTTAACAGTGATATATTTCAACGTTATATTTTGTTTTAAACGAATGAATAATGTGAAATTTTTTTTATTTCTGCTGAGTTCGTGACTCAAAACGCACGGGGAAGTTTTGCGCACGGGTTTAGGACAGAATAAATCCTGCAGGCATATATATAAAGTCAAAATTACAATGCAGGTGGCAGATTTTGTCTCTGTGCTTTTATTTGCTGATTGAAATGTGGAGGGTGTCCTGTTCCCTGCTCGCTGCACTCTTCCACGTTCAGCCTGTTCCTACTGAACCCCAGACACGTATCGACCCCTGAATTGAGGGAGTCATAAGGGGGCCATTGCCAAGTCTTACCCTCACCTTGGATGAAAATACAAATACTCCTCATCCTTCAGCCATTCATTTAGCCACCATTCAAAGTTATGAAAAAGTCACTGTGAGGATCAATCCTCACTCTTGCGACCACTGCAGCATCCCTATAGCAGCCCCTCAAGTATCGGAAGACTGCTATCCTGTCCCCCCCTCATCCTTCTCTTCCATAGACCAGGCAGACCTAGCTCCCTCGACTGTTCTTCCTACAGTTTATAGCCCAGGGGTCTTCCAATTTGGCCCTTTGATGACTTGTGGACTTCAACTCCCAGAATTCCTCAGCCAGTCCACAAGTCATAAAAGGGCCAAGTTTGAAGACCCCTGGTTTAGCCTCTAGATTGGGAGACTAGGACTAGAACTCTGCTTGGTGGTTCCCCCTCCACCCCCTGTCATCTTTTACGTTGGGTCACCTGAGTAGCTTTCAACCTGATGTGGTCCTTGTAGGACCAGCCATCTCTCTCTCTCTCTCTCTCTCTCTCTCTCTCTAACTTCAAGAGCTAAGGCCTGGAGGGGACCACTGGTGGTAAGATTGCCGCCCGTGTGTTCTCCCAGCTGGATGTTTTCAGGAGAGATGGATGGATTGAGTGCCTGTGTTGCTTTGGCATTACGAATCGCCGGCCACGGTTATCAGCCCGCCGAGCGCGGGAGGCAAAAGCCCCAGGCGGCTATTACCGTGGCAAATTGTCAACGCAGATCGACGCATGTGTCACTCCAGCGGTCCAATTGCTGCTGCCAGCGGAATCGTCGGAGGAGCTGGAACACAATCCGAGCTGCTGCTTAGGAAGCCTGGAGGGGGGGGCTGGCCTTGTTTAGTTGGCTGACCCCTCTCCCCAGCAGCTGGCCTCGAACTGAAAAACAAAAAGGCCACGGCACGTCTCTCGGGAGCAGAACTCCTCAACGGGGTTCGTGCCTGGCCCTAAACCCTGGTTTGTTTACCGCTGGTCAGTTGACAAAGCTGCAGACAGCGGGATTCGGGGAACTGGCTAAGCAGCGAGCAGCTGGTTAATCCCTTGAATTTCTTTGGGGACGGAGCCACCTGTAACTCTGGTGTCTGAAAAGTGGAAGAGTGCTTCCCTGCATTTGGCAGAAGGGAACTATGGCAATACCTTGGCTTTATGGAAAGGAGGGAGGGAGGGAGGAAGGAAGGAAGGAAAGGAAAGAAGGAAGGAGAAAAGGAAGGAAAGAGGAAGGAAGAAGGAAGGAGGAAAGGAAGAAAAGAAGGAGAGAAGGAGATTAATAGAACAGCAAAGAAAAACCTGAGATTTGAGAAAGAATTTTGTAATCTCTTTGCTCACTCATTTCCATGGAGAATTTTTGTTTATAGCTTGCTTTTATTTATAGTAGTAGTAGTAGTAGTAGTAGTAGTAACAATAACAACAATAATAATAATAATAATAATACCATCAAACATCCACATCTGCCTATCCCAGCCCTTGGGAAGGACTCAATAGGTAGACATAAATGCCAAATCCAGTCTGAACATCTGGCTGACTGTGCGATGATCCATAATAATAATAATAATAATAATAATAATAATAATAATAATAATAATAATAACAACAACAACAACAACAACAACAACAACAACAACAACTCAGGGTGGTGATCATACCAAATACCCCTTCCTCCTCTTATTTTCCCCACAATCAGAGCCCCGGGTTGGGCTGAGAGGGAGGGACCGGCCCAAAGTCACCCAGCTGGCTTTCACGCCTAAGGCGGGACTAGAACTCCTTGTCTCCTGCTGATTGACTCAAGGTCACCCAGTTGATTTTCTTGCCCAAGTGGAGCTAGAGCTCCCTATCTCCTGGTTTCATTGCCAGGCCAAACTGGCTCCCCTCAAACCTACTCCTTCATTCTCTACATCCTCTTTTCAATCCCATTTTCCATTCTGGAGCTCACCCGAATCCGGAATCCCCCATCCTTGACCCCTGTCACACAAAGTAAAAGACGGAGAAGTCGGTTTTTGCCTCGGTGCTTTCCCTACAGGCCGCCCATCCGCCGGTCCAGGAGCGACAGAATGAAATAGCGCTTAATTACCTGACATTAATTAACTGCATAATTAATCGCAGGGCCTGATTAACCTCCAGAATTCGTCCCAGGGCTGTCCCAGCGATGCAGCCACCGTGTAAGCGGCGAGGCAGTTGGCCAAGTCCGTGGAGACAGGCGAGGTCTCCGGTAGCTAAGGCAGTTATTCTTAGAAGCGAAAACGAACCTGCTTGGAGGAAGAGTTTGAGATTTTCAGTGCTGCTGCCGAAGAAGAGATTCTCGTCACACTTCAGATGTGCCGGCTGTTGCGTCAGGAAAAGTGTGTCTGTGGGGGGAAGGGTCTTAGACAAGATGGGTGATGCCAACCATCTTTTGCTGAGATCCCTCCTCCAGTCAGTCCCCAACAGATTGATCAGGAGGGAATAGCACTCAGAATTGATTTCCCCAAGGCTAGAGAAATCCTCTCCGCTGCCTTAGGATAGCCAGTTTGGTCTAGGGGTTAAGGCACCAGGGTAGAAACCAGGAGACGGGGAGTTCTAGTCCCGCCTTAAGGCATCAAAGCTGGCTGGGAGACTTTGGGCCAATCACCAGGAGACGGTGAGTTCTAGTCCCGCTTTAGGCATGAAAACCTGCTGGGAGACTTTGGGCCAGTCCTCTCCCTCTCAGCCCAACCTACCTCAAGGGGTTGTCGTGGAGAAAACAGGAGGAAGAAGATGTGCTGAAGATGTTATTTGTAAAAAAAATAAAGGGAGATATATATATTCAAAATTTGGATTGGTAACAAAAAATTAAGGGAGAACTGGAATAGCCATTTCGAACTTTTTAGTTCTTTTCAACCAGACATACCCTTTTGAGATTCGAACCTGGGCTGTCTGCATGTTTCCTTTCTCCCATATTTGGGCCGACAGGGTGCACCAAATTCAAGATATATATACTGTATCTCCTTCTTCCCCATAGCTTTCTTCAAAGAGATCCCCCGCGATGGCCATAAAAGGCCCTTCTTTAGAGCAATGAGTGTGACTTCTTTCTTCTTCCTTTCTCTCTCTTCCCCTCCCCTCTCCCCCTCCCCTCTTGTCTCCTTCCACCTTTGGACTATAAAAACCGCCATAAAAACAGAGATTTGCAGCAGACAGCCCGCCAGGCCTAAATGGGGAGCGCTTCCCCCATCAGATGGCTCCTGTCTCCGCTCCCTTTTATGGTCGCTGCCAGGCGATATTTCACAGGGAGGCTGGAAGTGCGTTAAGCAACCCTCACAAGGCAGGCTTTGGGGGGGGTGATGGAGGGGGGGCAGGACCTGCTAAGGGGGCTTTGGAAGAGCTTGGCCTGAGGGCTGGGGGCGCTGATCAGGCAGATATCAAGGACAGTTAATCACTGGAACGGCTTATCTCCGGAAGCTGTGGGTGCTCCATCACGGGAGGTTTTCAAGAAAAGATTGTCTGCAAGGGGGTTGGACTAGAAGACCTCCGAGGTCCCCTTCCAACGCTATGATTCTCTGTTCTATGGCTTGGCCACACGCCACTGGACCTCTTCTTGGCAAAAGATGGCAAGGATCACATTCTCTAAAGCAGGGACACCGGGCTTCCTGTCCGCCAGAATTACGCTTAGCCCATCGTGTGTGTGTGTGTGTGTGTGCTCTTGAGAGGCACCAGATCAAAACCCTAAATGCAATTTTAGTTAATGGAATTACGGTGAATATCCATCTTTCCCTCTCTCCTTTGGTCCCCCTAAAATATGACAGGTGGTCCTTTACTTACAACCACTCATTCAGCGACCGCTCAAACAGCACTGAAAAAAGCGACCGGGGACCGGTCCTCGCCCTTACGACCGTCGCAGCCTCCCCACAGTTAAAATTTGGGCGCTTGGCAACCGGTGTGACAAATGCAGCAATCCGAGCTCACACCGAGCGCCATTTGCAACCTGGCAGGAGCAGAGTCAACGGGGCAAGCTGGATTTGCTTAACGACTGCCTGATTCACTTAACAACTGCAGCGGTTCGCTTACCGACCGTGGCAAAAAAAGGCATACAGTTGGGCCTGACTCACGCCTTGCTTAAGAACAGAAATTCAGATTCCAGTTGCCCTTTAAGCCAAGAGCTACCTGGATGGGGGTCAATTCTGTGTTCTGGGTTCTAAATTGGCCCCCTAGACCTGATTTCGCCAGCAGGCCTGGGGACCCCAAGGTGACACGGAGCCCATCATGTGGCCGGTTGGATTGTTGATGTTTATTGGGGTTTTTAATTGGGGTTTTCTTTTTTGCAAGCCAGCCAGAGTCACCCGTGAGTGAGCTGAGCTACCCTCTCAATCATCTTAATAAATAAACGAACTTTTTCAAGATTTCTGGGGGGCTACAACCCACGTATTTGAGGGCCACGGGCAACCCGGAGGCCTCGTGGAGGCTTTTAGCTCTACCAGCGCATTAACTCCCCCCTCCCACTCCTTCCACTGGCTCCTTTCCACCAGGGGTGCCTCTGATGTGAGTTTAACTTAATGTCTCCCTCTGTTCCTTGCTGGGTTTTTTGGGGGGGCTGCCTGAGGCAGAGAAATAAGTGATAGCCTCTCTCCCCTGAATCCAGATCTGCGTTCCCTAAGGGGAGATGAATTATTTTGACCCCTGGGGCAGCAAAGCCAGCCGAGGGCTGTGAAAATGCAGCAGTCGCACATTAAGTGGGTCTCTGCTGATAAACTCTCTTTCCGGGCTGCCCAAATCTATTTATTTTTTTTTGAGATAGCTGCCAGCACTGCACGGCCGGCTGGCAAGATTTCTCTGCTGTTTCCTGTCCAGTGAACAGATTGCACCGGCAGTCCTTGACTTACGACTGCAATTGAGCCCAGAATTTCTGTCGCTAAGAAAGACGGTTGGCTAAGTCGGCTTTGCCCCATTTTTTACGATCTTTTTTGCCAGGGCTGTTAAATGGATCACTGCGGTTGTTAAATGAGGAGCACGGTCGTTACACCCAGAAAAATATGGATAACCAAACAAGGCTCCTGCAATCATGTAGTAACTGGGGTTCTCATCCCTTTGCAAGTGGGCAGCTGATTCGGGACCAGCTGTAGTCTGAATCATCTTGTCCCTTTGCATGCCTGGTTAGTTTATTCTGCATTATACTTTTATAGGATTTGTACACCGCCTAAGGGGGGACCATCTTTGTTGGCCAGCCAGGAAACGTGGCAGATAAATAGGATTTTCTGATTCTAGCTGGACTGGGCCCCCAAAGTCTGGTGTTTCCTTATATTTATCCATTTAGTTCCCCTAGAGAATACAATGACACCTGATCGGATTTGCGGAGAGATTTCAAGCAAATATGGAAGACTTAAAAAAAAACAAAAAAACCGCCAGCTGCTTGCCAGGTCTGCTTTTTTTTTTAATTTTCCCATCGGTTTGGAAGCTGTGTGTAATCTGTTTTATTTATTTTATCTCTTCCCTTTATACGACTGCCCGTTGGCCAAGTGGCTCTGGGCATCTAACAACACACAACCACAGTTTAAACATACGGTGCACACCCACCCGAACCACCGATTCGCGCCGAATGCAGTAATTCACCCAAAATTCATCCACGCGCAGGGGCCAAAAGAATATATCCAGCCAGCTTGGGGTTTTTTTTGTTCTTCTCTGCTTTTCCGCTGTTTAACCTTAATTTCGCCCTCCCTCTCGCCAGGAGCGCCTGGCTCCTTTGTAATTATGGCACGGCGTGATCAAACCCATCTTCCCTCTTCTGGCACCCCAGCGAAATTCGGAGCGTGTTCCCCTTTGCTCAGCTGCCGAGCCAAGGTCAATTAACGGTCCCTGGGCAGGCTCG